TCCGGTAAGGGGGGGTGGGGGGGGATGGGGGAGGGGAGGTTGTGATCTGACCAGGATTTCATATTAGATGTGTATAACATCAAAAATGGTCCAAAAGGAAAATTTGGCCTTGAAGCTCAGGGGCCCTGTCTGATATCGTACTCCGGGGGCCCGGGTCTATCAATCTATAACACTGGTTCAGCCCAATCCTCATAACACTGAGCATTGGGCCTGTCATAGCTCACATTCTGCTTCTCATTCTGCATATATCTACATAAAAGTATCCAATCCTCCATTGCAATCACACATATTCACCAAAAACCCAATACAATTATTCCTAACCAGCCCTTATCTTCTTCATATCAAAGTTCCAACTATTCCCGCACACCAGCTGAAATTTCAAATAAGCCCAGCAGAGGAAGAAACGGCACTGCCTAAAGTGACAAATGAGAAACAAAGCGCCCTCCTCCATGTAATCTCCGAGTGTTTCATACACACCAGCTCCGACTGTCACATATTTCAGGCAGCACAAAGGGTCTCCACCTAGTTCCTGGAAGACAACTATGCAGAAGATGTAAACTACTTCAGATTCACAAAATGGAGTCAGCGCGGACCGCTGACGAATCGCTATTCACACAGGCGGGTGTCTGCCGTACGGTCGACCCATTCACCGCCAAGGGAATGCATCAAGTTTGGAGAGTCCCGACCACAAGTTTGCTTCTCCTTTGCTGGTTGGCGTGACGCTGTCCGTTCTTCCATGATTCCAGGAGCCTCCTGTCCCCGCAGGGGCTGGATGTCAGAAATAGCCACTCCCAGGCCACGCCCTCCTGGAGCAGTAACTCAGAGCTGCCCCGCCCCTTCCCGCCCCAAGCCTGCCGTTACCATAATGAAGAGAATTATCCACTCGGGGGCGCTGCGGTCAGTTCAGAGGGGGGCGCTGCTTCGTGAGGGCCTCTTCCAGTAAGTTCGCCATCTTCTGACAGTCGTCCTGAGGAAACAGACAAGACGGTCGTTTATTATTAGGGAAAACGGGTGACAACGTTTAAAGGGGGGGCACCAGGGAAGGCAACATGAAAGCAAGTTGCAATAACAAACACTGGCAGAGCCAATCTGTGCAATGCATTCTGGGAAACTTTACCTCGCTGATGAAGCCATAATGGACGAGTTCAGAGGCCAGCGTCTGCGAGCTCTCGTCTGTAGGAAAAAGGGGAGAGGAACTGGTCAGTTACCGGACCCGCAGCTGGAGACCTCGGGGACTGGCTACCCACCCCGGGGACAACAGGTTGCCCATTGTTCTGCCACAAAACCGCGGCTCGCTGTATAATGTACTATATTGCACACCACACTCTTTTTTTTACTTCCACCGTGCCAAGCTTGCTCCCGTGATGGACTACAATCTCAATAGAAACTAGTATTCCATCACTGGAGCCTTTTTTTTTTATCCGATTAATCGAACGTAATAATCGGCTAACTAATCGATTATGAAAATAATCATTAGCTGCAGCCCTAGTCTCGTCAGATCCTCAGTCTCTGTCCTTCTGACTGGATTAAGATTTCTTTATTTATAGTAAGTAACTATAGAGTAACAGCAGGAAGTCCTGGCCACAACAGCCACCACTTCCTCATACATCAATAGAACACAGAGCCAGCCAATGAAACACATGTATACATCTGAATAGACAATAGAAAAGGGGAGTGTATGCTCATGCATGTGAAGCACCGTGCACAGTTTCCAGCTGCTAGTTCATGTCTCACGTGCACATTTGTTAACAATGGAAAACCATGTGCAATGGATTTCCCGCCAAAACACAAAGGAAGCAGCATGATTGCACATGGATGCCGCCATCTTTAATCTCCCGTTAACACTGGAGCGAACTTCATCCAGCATTGCTCAGTGAGCCACGCCCAATAAAGTTACTATGATTCTCATGAATGCGAGCTTATCTGCAGGGACAACGCCATATTAATCTCCAGCGCGCTGATCAGGCGCACTAGAAACACAAACGCACGTTCCCTTCATAAAGGCAGATATATATCTTAAATGATACCTTGTTCTCAAAACAAATGCACCCACGCCAAGCCAATAAATCCGCCCATTACGCAGGGGCTTAGCCGGCGTCCATGCATTCGCTAAGAAAACACTGCTCCGCCACGCACGTTAATCTCCCCCCGCCAACAGCCCAGCGCATGGATCGTTCGCCAGCGGAGACCTCTGCGCACGGCGGCCGCGTCTCCACATCCACAGGAAGATATCCACTCCAATGGTTTACACTCAGTGATAATTAATCTGGGTCACGCTCTAATCGAGCGTGACCCAGAAATCCGGACACAGAGACATGATGACAATATTCACATATACAATATATTAAAAACACATCCTAATAAAATTTCCACAACAATATATATATACACACACACACACACACACTTGCATATTCAGCTGGTATAGGTAACTGCATTCTGTTTTTATATTAGCTCCCTGTAATCCTCTGCCCAGCAGTACAGAGAGAGGATCCTATTAGGGTTCTATTGCTACGTACAGTACAGTCAGTCTAACACTAGTAGCTTGCTGACAGGGTAGAGAGAACAAAGTAAGCGGAGTGAAACCTTCATCATAGCGGGGATGCTTCTTCTTTGTCCAATCAGGAGGTTGTGGGCGGGAAGCTGACTGGGCTGTGCTGTCTGGTAGGGGTGCTTGGAGCACAAAACTGGCCGAACAGAAAAACAAATCCTTGGGCAGGCCACATGTAAGCATTGAATGCTGGCCGGATTTCCTTGCTGGCCCGGAATGCAGTTTTTTTTACATCCGCCACTTTATTCCCTTTTATTTATAAGGAAACATAAACGGAGCAATCGTACTTACTGGGCAGCAGGTCGCAGCTCAGGTGTCGGTGCAGCTTATCGTCCAGCTTCAGGTAGAGGGTGAGCTGTGGAAAGAGAGAGACTCATGACAGGTACAGGGAGCCCCAATGCGGAAATGGACACTTATTATAATGTCGGCTTTTATAGAGAGCAATATCGCTCGAAAAAAGGGTCATGTAGGAGCGACAAGCTACAAGCGATATTGAGCGACGAGATGTGAACAGCTGCATTGAAATGTATTGGTGAAGCTACATAGAGCGATATCGCGCGGTAATAGGAGCGATATCGCTGCAAAAAATCGCTCAATGTGAACGGGGCCTTAGAGGCTGTGATAGAGGGGACGGGGGTCAAAGAGAACCTGTCGCTATCACATCACAAATAACTAATATAAGCCACCGTAGAGTTCCTGCACATCGCTACTCTCTTATTATATCCTCAAACCTGGACCTTACTCAGTATGTAAAATTCATCATAGGGTCCACACCGGTGCCACAATGCCAATAAAGAGGTGACAGCATTGCACTGTGGCATGCTTTTACTAGAACTGGAGCTCAAATTGAGTGTAATAGGCCAGGGATCATAGAAGAAGGAGATCTTCCCGGGACTATTGTGTGGTGTGGGATTTTTCCTTCTAATAGGTGTCAATGATAGGTTTAGTTTTTCATGAGAGGTCTTAGTAGGCCTGACCACGGATTGGATCCTTCCACAATCAGTTTATGGGCAGCTATGTCACTGCTATCCCTAGGATGGTGAGACTTCATCATCATCAACCCATCTATGGGTTAGAGGAAGGACCCTCCAACCTTCTAAACAAAGGCCCAGTTCAGTTTTCTTCTGATCTTATGGGGGGACAGAATGTGGCCAGTGGGAGCAAACAATCCCCAAGGCTTGGTTGTCAGTGGGAGTAAAAAAAATTACCTAGTGCATGTGGTCAGTAGGAGGAATAGTGCCCCATCAGCCTTGATGTCAGTAACAGAATAGTGCCCCATTGGTGGGTGTCAGTGGGAGGAATAGTGCCCCATTGGTGTGTGTCAGTGGGAGGAATAGTGCCCCATTGGTGGGTGTCAGTGTGAGGAATAGTGCACCATTGGTGGGTGTCAGTGGGAGGAATAGTGCCCCATTGGTGGGTGTCAGTGGGAGGAATAGTGCCCCATTGGTGGGTGTCAGTGGGAGGAATAGTGCCCCATTGGTGGGAGTCAGTGGGAGGAGTAGTGCCCCATCATTTGAGTCAGTGGGAGGAATAGCACCCCATTATTGGAGTCAGTGATTGGAATCGTGGTTCATTGCTGGGGTCAGTGGGAGGAATTGGGCCTCACAGACCGGTTAATAGCAAGCAATAGGCCACAGTTTAGTGACAGCTGGCAGAAATTATTTCAGTTATTTTCACTTATTGAAGTCTGATGAGAATGAAAACGCCAGGAATTGCCCCGAGTGGCTGTATAAATAGGCAGAACTTACAGAAGTGACATCTATCGTGAGAAATCATCAATGTCAACCTTCCAATATGAGCACTTATAGATAAATATACAATTCATGTCCATCTATGAGGAGACCCCATTCACCTGCCCCCCAATTCCCCTCATCATAAACAGAACAATATAACAACTGTTCCATCACACAAGTACTTCTGTACCCATACATGGAATTCTAGGGACATGGATCCGTGTAATACCTACATGTAAACGGGCTCTGTCTTCTCTCTGCTCCAGGTTACAGTGCATCTGGGTGACCTACAATGAGGAGGGAAAGAATAAAAATAATTGGGGTAACTGGCCATAACTGGGCCTCCATCCTCGTATATCACAAGGTATTCCCTGTGGCTCACCTTCCGAGTCTCAACCTCCACCGGCTCTGGTGTGGGGGTCTTCGCCATCTGTAGATCCTCCTGGGACTGCGAGAGGGCGCGTGGCAGGATGTGAGGACGAGAGACGGCAAAGTTCATGAGTGGATAAATCCCATTTCTAGGGGAACCGTGAGATGGATGAATTCAAAGAAACCAGAGAGCCAAAGAAAAGGGAGGGGGGAGAAGAAAGAGACAAGTAGAGTGAGAGTGGATGGAAGAGTAGAGAGGCATAGAGGGATAGGAGGAAGAGTTGGGCCATAGAGAAGCATTGTCCATAACATGGGCAACCAGAGAGATAGTACTCAGGTGGCTGGACTGTGACAGGCAGAGAAGACACGGGGCAGAGACAATATGTGAGAGAGGAGGAAGGTTGGATAAAGTCATACACAGGTGAGAGAGGAGGAAGGTTGGATAAAGTCGAGAGAGAGATCGAGAGAGAGAGAGAGAGAGAGATCGAGAGAGAGAGAGATCGAGAGAGAGAGATCGAGAGAGAGAGAGAGAGAGTTAAGCGACACTGAGAGAGAGAGAGAGAGAGAGAGAGAGAGAGAGAGAGAGAGAGAGAGAGAGAGAGAGATCCAGGCAGTAAAAGCCATCAACAGCTGACCACAGTGTCCTCTCACCTGACATCTTCTAGAAACTTGTCAAGTTCCATGGAGGCCACCTGGGAATAGCTGATAAACAAAGGAGGAATTGTGAGATATATTCTGTGGCAGAGTATCTACAGGGGCCCCCAAATAGCTTCTGTTGCCCCTGTTACTCATACGCCAACATTCACACTAAGAGCATGCACGCATTGCCCTAGCCCAGGGGTCTCAAACCTCCGGCCCTCCCATGAGGCATTGCAAGATTCTCACAGACATGACTCCCGAAGAGAGATGCATCATGGGATTTGTAGTTTCACCACAGCTGGAGGGCCGGAGGTTTGAGACCCCCTGCCCTAGCCCATCCCCTTTCAGTTATATGGGTGACACTTACCTCCAAGCCGCAGCCGACTGACCCCTTCGTGGCACAGAAGCCATGATACCCTGCGGGTCGATCATTTTGGTCTTCTCTTCCAACAGGCTATCATGTGTGATGTCTGTAGAGGAACGGAGAACATATGACAGAGGAATATCACACTTGGCTGTCCCAGTCTGGGCCTTGGAGGTCCACAGGCAGGCCAGAACTGGGAGCAGACACCATATTCTGGTCTAATGTTGGACATACATGGCACAATTTTCAGTAGTGATGTGACCCATCAAGAGTATTGTTGAGGTACGGTCAATGTTTGGGTGTGACCATAATCTGTGGCATTAGGTGCAAACATTAACTCCATCCCTCATGGGCTCACCTTGAGTGACTGAACTCCCACCTTCAGGGATTGCTCTGTCCCCCTTCATTATTCAACCTATGCCCTCATGGTTAAATCCCCCCCACCCATGTACCGAGTCCCCCCCCTTCATCGGTTGAAACCACACCTAGTAGTCTGAGCCCCCTCTGTTATTAACTGAGCACCCTCCCGAATTGACTTGATGCCCTTCTCATGTAATTAGACCCCGCCTTTATAAACTTAAACCCATACCCCCAATGGGTTCTCTACCTTGTGGACTTGCTCCCTTCTCAGTACTTAGACTCCACTCTCAAGGATTGAAGTCCACCCTTAAGGTATGAGTCTCCCCCTCATGTACTGAGACTCTTCCCCATTTACTGAGTCTCCTCTTGAGACCCCGCCATCATAGATTAAGGGCCACCCTTACAGTCTGGGAACCCGTCCACATGAACCGAGACCCTTCCCCATGTACTGAGTCCCGTCCTTCATGTACTGAGACCCAATCCTCATTGGTTTTTGGTTCATCGTTATGGTCCGAGTGTCTGTCTTCATGGTCTGAGATCCTTCCCCATGTACTAGGTCCCCTCTTTGATGTACTGAGACCCCCACCTCATGGATTGAGGACCACTTTTATGGTGTGATTCCCCGCCATCATTGACTGAAACCCTGTCCAATGTACTGAGTTCCGTCCTTCATGTACTGAGACCCAATCCTCATGGATTGAGGACCACCTTTTTGGTCCGAGTCCCCGTCATTAGGCCTAAGACCCTGCCCAATGTACTGATGTAGTGAGACTCCCACCTCATGGATTGAGGACCACCTTTACCGTTTGAGTCCCCACCATCATGGGCTGAGACCCTTCCCCAAGTCCTGAGTCCTGTCCTTCATGTACTGAGACCCAACCCTCATTGGTTTCTGGTCCACATTTATGGTCTGAATCTCTATCCTCATGGACTTAGACCCTTCCCCATGTACTAGGTCCCCTCTTTGATGTACTGAGACCCCCACCCCATGGATTGAGGACTACTTTTATTCATTGACTGAGACCCTGCCCAATGTACTGAGTTCCATCCTTAATGTACTGAGACCCAACCCTCATGGACCACCTTTATGGTCTGAGTCCCCGCCATTATGAGCTGAGACCCTGCCCAATGTACTGAGCCCTGTCCTTCATGGATCGGGAACCCACCCTCATGGGTTTTGGTCAGCCCTCATGTACTGAGACCCTTCCCCTCAATGTCCTGAGAGCCCACCCTCATAGACTGAGCTCCTCCAAGGTTTGCCGTATCTATAGTCTTTCCTCTGGTTGCCCGGCAGCCGTTGCTTCTGCTGCGTCATTAATAAAACAGAGCGCGTGTATCAGTCGGCATTCACCGAGCGGTTTGCTTTGTTCCGGATAACGGCATTAGCGGTTGTGAAAATGAATTTAATTGACATTAGCGCTTTCGATTTCATCCCTCTAATAGGCTGCTGATGCAAATGGTCTGCTTCTCCTGGAACAGCAGCTGTGAACTGGTTGGCTCAGCACCAGCCATCTGCCCAATATATGAACACAGACACCATGGCAATATCCTCTCCGAGCTGTACCAACATGTAAACTCAAGATCCAGCACAGGGGAACACGGGGAAAACAAACCTTACATATGTGATCTCTCAATAGTATTAACAGAGCAGGTTTTGTTTTCTCAGCATAGTTTTATTACTGGTTGATACTGCCAGGAGATCTGTTATCTTTCCACTTCCCTTACCATGGTGACAACGCCTTTGGCTCTGCAGTGAAATCACCCAGCAGTGTTGTCACCCTGTGGACAGGGTAGTCTTAAATGGACATGCAGTTCTAAATGGACTCTTTATAAAGGATGGAGGATAGTGTATACATAACCCAGAGCACATAGAGGATGGTCTATACATTGATGCTTACAGGGGGTGTTGAGGAAGCAGTGCGTCGCTAGGAGCTTCAGCGAATGAACCTCGAATAACACTCGGTGGAAGAGAAGGTCGTGCGCAGACGGGCGCTTTTTCGGGGAGACGGAGAGACACTGCAGGACAAATTCCTAGAAAAATAACGTTTCAATGTGTCAATCAGCATCTGTTCACATGCGGAACTGAACTCATAGCAGAAATACTCCCCCCCCTGGCCTTGGAGGTCCACAGGCAGGCCAGAACTGGGAGCAGACACCATATTCTGGTCTAATGTTGGACATACATGGCACAATTTTCAGTAGTGATGTGACCCATCAAGAGTATTGTTGAGGTACGGTCAATGTTTGGGTGTGACCATAATCTGTGGCATTAGGTGCAAACATTAACTCCATCCCTCATGGGCTCACCTTGAGTGACTGAACTCCCACCTTCAGGGATTGCTCTGTCCCCCTTCATTATTCAACCTATGCCCTCATGGTTAAATCCCCCCCACCCATGTACCGAGTCCCCCCCCTTCATCGGTTGAAACCACACCTAGTAGTCTGAGCCCCCTCTGTTATTAACTGAGCACCCTCCCGAATTGACTTGATGCCCTTCTCATGTAATTAGACCCCGCCTTTATAAACTTAAACCCATACCCCCAATGGGTTCTCTACCTTGTGGACTTGCTCCCTTCTCAGTACTTAGACTCCACTCTCAAGGATTGAAGTCCACCCTTAAGGTATGAGTCTCCCCCTCATGTACTGAGACTCTTCCCCATTTACTGAGTCTCCTCTTGAGACCCCGCCATCATAGATTAAGGGCCACCCTTACAGTCTGGGAACCCGTCCACATGAACCGAGACCCTTCCCCATGTACTGAGTCCCGTCCTTCATGTACTGAGACCCAATCCTCATTGGTTTTTGGTTCATCGTTATGGTCCGAGTGTCTGTCTTCATGGTCTGAGATCCTTCCCCATGTACTAGGTCCCCTCTTTGATGTACTGAGACCCCCACCTCATGGATTGAGGACCACTTTTATGGTGTGATTCCCCGCCATCATTGACTGAAACCCTGTCCAATGTACTGAGTTCCGTCCTTCATGTACTGAGACCCAATCCTCATGGATTGAGGACCACCTTTTTGGTCCGAGTCCCCGTCATTAGGCCTAAGACCCTGCCCAATGTACTGATGTAGTGAGACTCCCACCTCATGGATTGAGGACCACCTTTACCGTTTGAGTCCCCACCATCATGGGCTGAGACCCTTCCCCAAGTCCTGAGTCCTGTCCTTCATGTACTGAGACCCAACCCTCATTGGTTTCTGGTCCACATTTATGGTCTGAATCTCTATCCTCATGGACTTAGACCCTTCCCCATGTACTAGGTCCCCTCTTTGATGTACTGAGACCCCCACCCCATGGATTGAGGACTACTTTTATTCATTGACTGAGACCCTGCCCAATGTACTGAGTTCCATCCTTAATGTACTGAGACCCAACCCTCATGGACCACCTTTATGGTCTGAGTCCCCGCCATTATGAGCTGAGACCCTGCCCAATGTACTGAGCCCTGTCCTTCATGGATCGGGAACCCACCCTCATGGGTTTTGGTCAGCCCTCATGTACTGAGACCCTTCCCCTCAATGTCCTGAGAGCCCACCCTCATAGACTGAGCTCCTCCAAGGTTTGCCGTATCTATAGTCTTTCCTCTGGTTGCCCGGCAGCCGTTGCTTCTGCTGCGTCATTAATAAAACAGAGCGCGTGTATCAGTCGGCATTCACCGAGCGGTTTGCTTTGTTCCGGATAACGGCATTAGCGGTTGTGAAAATGAATTTAATTGACATTAGCGCTTTCGATTTCATCCCTCTAATAGGCTGCTGATGCAAATGGTCTGCTTCTCCTGGAACAGCAGCTGTGAACTGGTTGGCTCAGCACCAGCCATCTGCCCAATATATGAACACAGACACCATGGCAATATCCTCTCCGAGCTGTACCAACATGTAAACTCAAGATCCAGCACAGGGGAACACGGGGAAAACAAACCTTACATATGTGATATCTCAATAGAATTAACAGAGCAGGTTTTGTTTTCTCAGCATAGTTTTATTACTGGTTGATACTGCCAGGAGATCTGTTATCTTTCCACTTCCCTTACCATGGTGACAACGCCTTTGGCTCTGCAGTGAAATCACCCAGCAGTGTTGTCACCCTGTGGACAGGGTAGTCTTAAATGGACATGCAGTTCTAAATGGACTCTTTATAAAGGATGGAGGATAGTGTATACATAACCCAGAGCACATAGAGGATGGTCTATACATTGATGCTTACAGGGGGTGTTGAGGAAGCAGTGCGTCGCTAGGAGCTTCAGCGAATGAACCTCGAATAACACTCGGTGGAAGAGAAGGTCGTGCGCAGACGGGCGCTTTTTCGGGGAGACGGAGAGACACTGCAGGACAAATTCCTCGGAAAATAACGTTTCAATGTGTCAATCAGCATCTCTTAACATG